TCCACATGAACAATGAGCCACTGACCAATAATAACATGGCCAAATCCCTGTATCTGCTTTATATTCATTCTCACACACTGGAGAGGGGAAATAATGACAGAATTTCTCAAATTAAGCTATAATTTAGTAGTCTTTTCTACTGGATTAAGAGTTGGTAAACTTTTCACACCTTGTGAAACACTACAGTTTCTTTCTGGAACCTCATCTACATCAAGTTTAAACCTACTACTGCCAAAAGTGCTCTGTTGTACTAACAATAAAGAAACCCAAAAAGGCCAGGAGAGGGAGCAAATACATGTAACAACATTTGAACATGTTTCTCATGGCTATATTTCCCCTATAAACTTCTCTGGTCACACAAAAAACACAAGTCACCATACAGTACCTTTCCATCCACTTTGTAGCAATTTTCAGAATTGCACATTTTGATGTTTTTGCCATCTATTCCCTGGAAGACATATAAAACATCTCTTACAAGGTTTGCTTCAGTTATTTCAACAGAGCCTAGAAAGAAAAAACACAAACAAAACCATATCAACCAGTGTTTAGGTTCATTGAGACAATTAGTTTTCATTACAACTTCAAAAAGCTTTTTAGAAGCATAGCCAAAAAATATAAATACAAAGAAATTATACAGCAAATAAATGGTTTCGGTCTTAACAATCTGACAGGAAATCCCAGGATTCCCTTTGCTTGTTTCTCCTGCTGCCTGTGATTCTCTCAAAGAAGTCAGCTTGTACCACACAGGTCATGTTGTATTTTAAACAGCACATCAGCTTCAACTTGTTAACTTGGCTGGTCCAACCATCAGTGCAAGTTGTGTGGCATCATAGTAACTTGATCTTTCTTCGAACAAGCAACTGAAGTTGTTCAACAGGACTTAGAGAATCATCTCTTTGTGCTCAGCTAGGAAAACAACAGTTAACCCAGAAGGAAGAGCTGCTTGTTTGAGATTGTCTGTCAGTCACACATGCCACTGCTAGGTGAGAGGACTGATCCAAAGCAGACTCTTGGCTGCACAACAGTAAAAGTGTACACACTTTTGTTTCTGAAGGTAGCTGTGATGTTTGATTTAGCAAAGCTTCTGCTGTTGTAGCATACAGTTTGTTTCTGGTTCTCACCCCTAGTTAGAGGTGAGATGATGTTTGAGATTTAGGCTAGTTAAAGGAAAAGGAAGATTATTTTTTTTAAAAAAAGGTGCTCTCCAAGCTACTGGAACTACCCCCAACCTCTTCTGGGCAAACCAGTACCATCTGCTTTTGCAACTTCATTTAAGATGTCAGGAATGAAACCATTTTAATGACAACTACCCAGAAACTGAGATGCTAAAACACATTTCTCCAATTTTCACAGCACTCATCCACCCCTTATTTTGCCTCCCCAACAATCCACTTGCCCAGAGTAAAACCAACAAAAAAAAAAAGTCTATTCTTCTTTTGGCAGAAGCAGCCTTCACTTCAAGATGCTGTTTAGAACTCACAGCATTAAGATGTGCCTAAGAGTAGCTTTTCCCTTCTAGGAACTCCGTGAAATGGTGAGAGATGCAAGTGCATGTTTCTTTAACAGGCAAAGAACACAACAGGTTCTTTTCATATTGTTCACATATTGTTACACTCTGTGTAGGTGTAACATTAAGGAAACTCCAAATAAAAGCAACCAATTTTAAAAGAAAAATAATTAGTCAGAAGAACTTCACAGTCATAAAAATACATCTCCTTGGCAATAGCTTTCTGTATTCTGAATGCAGTTCTGTCTCTATTGCTGCATCACTAAGTGACTACATTTTAGACAATTGTCAGTCCTCATCCCCATCCCACAGGAGAACCAGAGCCACAGTCCTCATCCCCATCCCACAGGAGAACCAGAGCCACAGCTGCCTGACTGAACAGGAAGAAGTATTGCTTGTTACAGCAATCAGTAAAACACATTCAGAGGCAGTGCTAAATTTTATATGTTTATATGGGGTTTTTCCCGTATCTGTACTATTAAATGTACCATTTATCTAAGACATATTTACACCACATATATATGCACATACGCATGTGTCCTCTTGCACATCAATGCTCTTGTTCACGAGGTCCTAAGCAGCAAATGCTGCCCCTCAGATACACCAGTGCAGCTCTGGTCCATGAGTTGTCACTCCAAGCTGCAGAGGGTGGCAGACAGGCAATACTGTCGCTTCAAACTGTCTACACTTATTGAAAGAGGAGCTATCTAAAAAACCAAGCCAACCACAAACAAACCAACCAATTAATCTCTTGTTTCTCTTTGCCAGAGTCTCAGCACTGTAGGATGATGACATCTGCCACCAGTTCTCTTATTCAGAAAGGTCTCCCATTTTTAGAGTAGAAAGAGTGGGCTGAAACTCACACAGCTGACACAGAGATCACCTGTTCAACTACTTCTCCTTGGTTACACTTGTGCAAAATCAGACTCCAGGCATCAGCACCAAGATCACAGCTACTTCATCAAGGAAACAACTTAGCAATACTGACTAATTTTTTATTTCTTTCATGATATGTGATGCCACATGCACAAAATAAAACCACTGTAAGCAGTGCTAATTTAAAGGCAAAAACCCAGCTTTAAGAGCTCTACATTCCAGTGCACATTTCTGAGTTTTCAAAGACAGAATAACAAATGGCTGACAGTATTTCAACAGCTCCTTTGCACTGAGCTCTCTTTCTAAGAGTAATGGCATAGAATCATAGGACAATCAGGGCTGGAGGAGACCTCTAAGATCATCGAGTCCAACCATTAACCTGTCACTGCTGGAACCACTAAACCCTAAACCAGATCCTCCAGTGTCACATCCAGATGCCTCTTCAACACTTCCAGGGATGGTGACTCCATCACCTCCTTGGGCAATATTCCAGCATCTTCTGCTCCACAAAAGAATGCTCAAAGCTCACAAGTCACAATCCCTTGATTCTGACAAACACTGCAATGAAGTTGCTCTTTTAGGACCAGAAGACATTATCAACCCAACCACTGCAAAAAAAGAAAGTAACAACCAACCAATGAGCTTGTGGATAAATATCCTGGTCTTGCACCGTGGCTTCTGTCCTTGTATTAAATACATCCTAGACAAACATTTCTCAGATAATCAACATGCTATAAATCTAGTCCCAAATCAGTTAAAAAACTACGGAGGATACAGGTAACTGCAGAAGAAACCAAAACTATCTGAAGCAAATCTATGTCTCACCACTTGTATCCCCTTCTCGCCTGGACCTTGGCACACCACGGGAGACAGTGTTGGAGAAGCCTTTTGAGGTAGTGTTTTGAAGAGAAGGCTGATTTGCAGTGAGTGTCCATGCGAGACGCGAGCCGAGCTGCTGCCGGAGGCAATCCCCAACACCTGGAGCTTGGTAGGATTGTCTGACAGGACAAGAGGAAAATCATCTTTAAAAGCTTTGATCGTTTGGTATATGGAAATTCTGAGAAACGCCCCAGGTTTGAGTTTGGTGGATGTTTTGTTTGTGTGGGTTTTTCTTATGGACGGGAACCTTAAAAACGGTGACAGAACACACAGTCAATTTATTGCTTATTTAAATAATCATGGAATCATAGAATCAGTCAGGTTGGAAAAGACCTCAAAGACCATTAAGTCCAACCCTACCGTGGTTACTAGACCATGGCACCAAGTGCCACATCCAGTCTCAGCCTGGAGAAGAGAAGGTTGTGTAGAGACATCAGAGCACCTTCCAGGAGCAGAAGGGGCTCCAGGGAAGCTGCAGAGGGACTCTGTGTTAGGAGCTGCAGGGACAGGACAAGGGGCAATGGGCACAAATTGAAGGAGAGGAAATTTAGGTTAGAGATTAGGCAGAAGCTTTCCCTGTGAGGGTGGTGAGACACTGGCACAGGTTGCCCAGGGAGGCTGTTGTTCACAGCCAGGTTGGATGAAGCCTTGAGCAACCTGCTCTAGTGAGGAGGTGTCCCTGCCCAGGGCAGGGGGTTGGGACTAGATCATCTCTAAGGTCCATTCCAACCCATAAAATTATATCATTGTATGATTAACAATGGACACACTTGAGCAGGCATTTATGGCTTCATACAGCCATGTGCCAGCACCTGATACTCAGAACTGTTCAGCTAAGGAACTCAGTTTTTCTGCACCTACAGTGGAATTTCCAATGGCATACAAATGGGCAGGGTAGGGAAGGGAAAAAAAACCAACAAAAAAAAGGCAGTGTGTCATCTCAAGTCTTCTCCAAACATATCTGTAAGGCAAAACAGTTAAATTTACCCTGGCAGGAGTGATTGTGGAGTTGGTGTTGGCCCATTTAGGGCATAGAGGCTGATGCTGCTGATCCCACTGCTCCCCATGCTGCAGGAGCTCTGTGCAGACTGTGCACCGCGGTCCTGGTAGTTCAGGGGCAGGGTCTGAGGCCTGGCATAGTAATAAGGGGTGGAGTGAGCATCCCGTGGCAATGCTTGAGCAAAAAGTGTGGCATAACTTGACACCTGAAAAGGAAAGGATTTGAAAAGGGAGGAATGAAAAAGACTTGTAAGTTGCCTGAAGTTACTTAACAGGAGTGTAGTATCAAGAACGCAAAAAGATACCTCAAGAGAATTTTTATGCAAAAAAAAAAGTGGCTGAGAAAATTATAATGACACAAACTAAGTCCCTTACAAGGAGCAAAAGTACTTCAGCTTCTTTTTGCCTGGAAATTGTCATTAGCAAGAGCTGTAAATAGCACTTTGGTGCTAGCATAGGTGCAACTGAAGGAGTAATTTTGCTTTCCTTCCTCCATTTCAAACTCATTAGCACATAACACCAGCAAGCAGAGAACAAACATAAACAACACCCATCTAATTACAGCCACAACTTCCATGTTGCACAGCTCACATGTCTACATTCACTCAGTGTAAGGAAATCACACCAGAAAGTAATGCAGGTACTTGAGTGAAGTGTGTTCTTCCTTTCAGCCTCACACACAAACACCACAAGCACAACCCAAGTCTGGCTCATGATCCCTAATGGCATCCAAATCAAATGACACACATTCACTGTTTCCCAGCAGTAGCAAAAGTCTCCTCACCTACCTTGTTAGACTGTTTACGTGGGTCTTCACTAAGGCTAAGCAGGAGGTAGAGTATTGACCATTTGTTTTTCAAAATGCCCTTGAAAAAAAAAGATGAAGACAAACGAATGAGTTTGGTTTAACTCTCGGCAATAATAGAACTTTTTTTAATTATTCATCCTACTAACATATATTTAAATCTTCCAGACAGGTAAGACCAACTCAGAGCCACATTACTGAGTAAACTGGGAATGGGCAGTGCAGCCTCTGAATTGCCAAGGTGAGGAAATTTCTTCATTGTGTTCAAACCATGAGCTCTCATCTGTTCTGAGAGCAGCAAGTAAGCTCAATTCAAAATTCACAGCTACTAAGAAGGTTTAAACAGAGTTGAACCTTGACCAGAATTCCCACACACTCTCACCATTTAAAACATCTCAGATGAGGATGTTAGCTTAAATTAAATGTGAAGGAGGAAAACTCTTGGTACAATTTTAAACAATTTTAAATTTCCTCTTCACTCTCTTTTACAGGAAGGCTGCAAAAGCAAGGGTTTCAATTCCTGTTACTTTAAATGCCTTTTAAGAGAGCTACAACATTTCTTAGCATGAGATAAGAGACACTATGAGCAGGAAACTTGAAGAATATACAATAGAGTCTCTAGGGACAGACAGACACAAAGATACTGTTTGAGGACTAGAGGAAATGGTCATAAGCCAGGGCAGAGTCAGATTGGATGTGAGGAGAAATGTTTTCCCTGTCAGGGTGTTGAGGCACTGGGATATTGCCCAGGGAGGTGGTGGAGTCACCATCCCTGGAGGTGTTGAAGAGGCATCTGGATCTGACACTGGAGGATCTGGTTTAGGGTTTAGGGGTTCCAGCAGTGACAGGTTAATGGTTGGACTTGATGATCTCAGAGGTCTCCTCCAACCTTGAGGGTTCTATGAATTTCTAATTAATAGCAAAAAAAAAAAAAAAGGAATTTTTAAGTTTTTTCACAAAAACTACAATCAGTTAGGGTTGAAAGGCATCTCTAGAAGTCATGTCATCCAATCCCTCTGCTCAAAGCTGGGTTGCCTACAGCAGGTTGTCTGTTACTGGGTCCACCCAGGTTTTGACTGTCTGCAATGATGGAGACTCCACAACTTTCCTGGGCAAGCTGCATTACATGTATGAATGTGTTCAAGAACATAAAGTGCCAAGAGGATGATCAGACTCTGCTCAGTGGGGGGAAACCAATGAAACACGAGGGAACAGCAAGAACTGATGCCCAGGAAGTTCCACCTGAACATGAGGAAGAACTTCTTTGCTGTGCAGTCACTGAGCACTGCACAAATTTCCCAGAGAGGTCGTGGATTCTCCCTCACTGGAGATAATCCAGACCCATCTGGACACAACCCTGAGCCATGTGCTCTAGGGTGGCCCTGCTGGAGTAGGGAAGTGGGACCAGATGACCACTGTGGTCCCTTCCAGCCTCACTGACTCTGGGATTCTGTTCCAGTAATCAACCATCATCTCTGACAAAACAATGTTGCTCATGCCCTGAGCACTCCCCACAACACCTCTGTATCACCAGAAGGAAGCACGTGTGCTTTCAGTTTCTCCACATTCATTACACTACCTGTGAGCCAAGTTTTCTGTAGAGCTCTGAAAACACAGCAGCATCTGCTTCCCTTCTCTGCCGCACAACTAGTGAAAAAACAGAAACAGAGGTTACAAAATTTGAAGTACCAGAACAGTCATGTCTGAAAATGTCCCCAAGAAAGCCTACTGATGCTGCACTGTTTCATTCTACTTAGCCATACAGCTCTGCCCGTTATCTGCCCTGACAGTTACATCAGAAGTGATGCAACAAAAGGACCTGTTTTTCCCAGGGCAATCAAAATATGCATCTTCTAAACAACTGCCCCTTTAAAATCTACTCTGCCATTCAGCAGGTTTAGGGACTTGGATAACTGAAAGCAGTTCAAGAATTCAATAAAAACTACGTGTAACTTCTCACCAAACTGAGTGTAGTGATTTCTATTTCAGGCAATAAAGGCAAGAAACAAAGGTAATAATGCAACTCACTTCAAATCAAGTAGAACTCCAAGGTCACACAACTTTCATAGATTAAAAAAACCTAATGTAACTGGCGTTGATTGAGACTATAACAGAAGTATTTTCTCAGAGGAAAATCAGCTTCAAACTCAGATTTCTTCAGAAAGGCTGTGTTACATTATAAAGAGCCATGTTTAAAAAACAGGCAGATCAAAAGACCTGAAGAAACCTTAGAGATAAGGACAATAGCTGTGAAATGCTAGAAATGTTCATTAATATAAAAAGCCTCTACTAAGAACACTTGGCCAAGTAAGTCACTTCTCTTGCATGGTATCTCCAAAAGAATGTAAGGCTAGAAGGATATCTCCAGTCCCTTGTTACATGACCACTAACATCAGCCTGCAAGCTGAGGTTGAGGATAAGGAAGAGGAGGGACATAGCCCTCTCCAAAACTCCTGGCATTAGGCCTGAAGAGTACATGCTGTGCTGTCCAGAACTAGCCAAATGTAGGAACTCATCATGCAGAAAGTGTATCGTGTAGATGCCAGTGTTTGGAGCTGCAGCTGAAGGAATTCTGAGGGGCTGGGCTTATTTGCCTATCAGCAAGTCAGGGAACCTCTGTCAGTAAGAACTACTGTACACAAGCAAACAGTTACAACCATTGACCTCTATTATCCTAGTTTAATCTTCCTCACTGAACATTCAAAGCTCAAATCTGAAGCTTTAATTTAATTAGCATCCTTGAAGTAATTGTTCCTGGGCATGCTACTGTACAGCAGACAATCTGCTGAAAGCACCACTTGGCTTTTCAAGAAGAAAAGCATCACATCCCCCTTGGATTCACAGTGTGACACTGGACTCAGAGCAGCACAGAGCACAAAGGAACAGAACTGCAACAGCACTTACAGTCAGGGGCTGGTACTAAGTCTACTGCCGCTCTGTACTAGAGGGAATGGTCATAAACTGAGCCAGGGCAGAGTCAGATTGGATATGAGGAGAAATGTTTTCCCTGTGAGGGTGTTGAGGCACTGGGATATTGCCCAGGGAGGTGATGGAGTCACCATCCCTGGAGATATTTAAGAGGTGTCTGGATGTGGCACTGGAGGATCTGGTTTAGGGTTTAGGGGTTCCAGCAGTGACAGGTTAATGGTTGGACTCGATGACCTTAGAGGTCTCCTCCAGCCTTAGTGGTTCTATGATTCTATAAAGAATATTCCCTAGGGAATTAGTGGAATTTGCATGACAAGATTTTCAGGAGAGAAGCACTAGTAACAGATCAGATACCATCTGTGAGGCAAAGTAGTCCCATTTTATTGTCCCACGTGGTGAGACACTGGCACAGGTTGCCCAGGGAGGCTGTGGCTGCCCCAACCCTGGCAGTGTTCACAGTCAGGTTGGATGAGCCTTGAGCAACCTGGTGTGGTGGGAGGTGTTCCTGCCCAGGGCAGGGGTTGGGACTATATGATCTGTAAGGTCCATTCCAACCCCTAAAATTCTCTGGTTTTCAGAGAAGTTAAACTGATTAAATAACTTCCTGAAGATCTTCCCATTTCTAAGAAAGGAATAAAGATGCACTTACGTTCTTTCTTGATTTTCTCTGCCACAAGAAATTCATCCCGCTCAACAGTGGGAGCAAAATTGCTTCCAATGACCCTCACGGCATACTGGAACTGTTGGGCTGCATCAGCTGAAAGAAAAAATACAAACTCTCTCAGTTCAGCTGAATGCTAAAGCTCTATTAAGACTAATCAATGAGACAGAAATGAGGTTACATTGCTGTATCCGAACCCAGCAGAAATGTACCAGGCTTAGATCTGGTAATGTGATGGTGTAATTCTTAGAGACACTTGTAAGCAGAGGGCAGCAAAGTGCAGTTTATCCAGCTGAGCCACAACCAATGCCACACTTCAAACACACTCACCTGTACACAGTCTGCAAAACAGCTGCACTAAAATTGTGGATAAGCCTTTCCTCTTCTGTGCTGAGGGAAGAGACACTTAGGCCCACCCAGTTATTGCAGAGCATTTGCACACTCAGCTGGCCCTGCCCATCCCACAGACAGAAGTGCTGTGGGACTTGGCCCAGACTCACATAGTTTAGCTCACATGTAAGGAGCAATACAGAGCATTGCATTATTGAAACCAGTGGCAAGGAGAAAGACTTGGGAGTGACAGTGGATGAGTAGCTCAGCATGAGCTGCAGTATGAGCTCAGCCCAGAAAGCCAATGGAATCCTGAGCTGCATCCAAAGGAGTGTGGGCAGCAGGTCAAAGGAGGTGATTCTTCCCCTCTACTCTGCTCTCCTGAGACCCACCTGGAATACTGCACACAGTTCTGATGTCCTCAACATAAGAAGGACATGGAACTGTTGGAGCAAGTCCAGAGGAGGCCACGAAGTGGCTAAAAGCACTGGAGCATCTCCCCTATGAGGACAGGCTGAGGGAGTTGGGGCTGTTCAGCCTGGAGAAGAGAAGGTTCTGTGGAGACCTCAGAGCAACTTTTCAGTATCTGAAGGGGCTACAAGGAGCCGGAGAGGGACTGTGTTAGGAACTGCAATGACAGGACAAGGGGTAATGAGTCCAGACTGAAGGAGGGAAAGTCTTGGCTGGATGTGAGGAAAAAGTTTTTCTCTGTGAGGGTGGTGGCACAGGTCGCCCAGGGAGGCTGTGCGGTGGCTGCCCCAGCCCTGGCAGTGTTCACAGCCAGGTTGGATGAAGCCTTGAGTAACCTGATGTAGTGAGGTGGTGCTTCTGCCCAGGGCAGGGGACTGGGGCTGGATGATCTCTAAGGTCCATTCCAACCCCTAAATTCTATGATCTGCACCCTTCAGCTTGCTCTGCCCAACCCACAGACAGAAGTGCTGTGGGACTTGCCCCAGACTCACACAGTTTAGCTCACATGTAGGAGCAATACAGCCACACTCATCAGGCACTCTCTCACCGGGCACCAAAACTGCACTGGTCTACCTGTGGATCTTGACTCAGACATCAGCTTTTCCCACTCTGCATCTTGGTTTTAGGTTTGGGTTTGTTTCTAAACCAGCTTGCATGGTTTTGCCCTAAGGCTCAAAGCTCCAAGCTATCAGTATCACATCCCGATGCATTGACTGCTCCTTTGTCATGCAATAATTCTGACGTTAATACAGTTGTTGAAACAGTACTGGTTTAGTGCAGGTATCTTTGGGGAAAGTTAACAGTCTGGTGACACCAAGACAGGCCCAGATCAGTATTCATGCCTTGACAGCACAGTTATGTTCCTATTTATTAACCTGAAAATCAATCAAAACCCTACAGACATAGCAAGTGCCCTTACAACATATCAGCTCATTTCTACTCCTTAGATAGAAACAACTGTAATAACACAAGGGGAAAGGTACATAAGACAATGTGTAAATGTCTTTGTCAGCTACTCCAATCCTTTAAGTTCAGAGAAAAAAAGGCATCCAAGCAATTCTGCAGTTTGTCTGTTCTGTATATAACAGTTGTGTGTGCAAATGCATCAGATCCTCACGTGCTTTACTGAGTGAGTCAAGCAGTCAGCTTTCAGAGAAAACTGCAGAGTAACTCAGCCATGCTTCAGCCAAGGGAAAGGCAAGGATACTGGCCAGGACAAATACTGATAAAGGGAACAGAAAAATGAAGTAAGGAAAAGATCACTAGGAACAGAAATAACTTAAGCATTTATCATCTCTTATATTTACTTGTTTTTCACAGAATCACAGAATTTAAGGGTTGGAATGGACCTTAGAGATCATCCAGCCTCAACCCCCTGCCCTGGGCAGGGACACCTCCTCACTACATCAGGTTGCTCAAGGCTTCATCCAGTCTGGCTGTGAACACTGCCAGGGTTGGGGCAGCTACAGCATCCCTGGGCAATCTGTGCCAGTGTCTCACCACCCTCAGAGGAAAAAAACTTTTTTCTCACATCCAACCTACACTTTCCTTCCTTCAGTTCTAACCCATTACCCCTTGTCCTGTCACTGCAGTTCCTAACAGAGTCCCTCTCTGGCTCCTTGTAGGCCCTTCAGATATTGAAAAGTTGCTCTGAGGTCTCCACACAACCTTCTCTTCTCTAGAAAAAAACACACTGGAGAAAATGACCTGGGAAATAGCACGTAGTCAGTTACTGCTTAAACGCATGAAAATCTCCATAAATTTATGGAGAGAAGAAATTTAAAATCACAATGTGCCAGATTCTTTCTGAATGCTCATCTTCTACTGTCGTGTAATATAAATGTCATCCTGGTCCAACCCTACTAGAACACAACTGCAGAATAGCAAACATTAACCAGTTCACACAGAGCAGCATTCCCAACGATCAGAAGAACAGTCTGCTCAGACCAAATCATGAATATTTAACAGTATCTGACAACACTGGCCTGCAGAAGGAGCAAGGGTATTGTTCTACTGCTGAAGAAGAAAATGCCAGTGCCCGGACTACTGTAAGGTCACAAATCTGCATGACTTAAATGCCTCCCAGCAAGAATAGTTCTACTGTTAGACCAAGCAGCTTCTCAATTGCAAAAAGGACTTGAAAAAACAAACACCAAAATTTAACAGTCCAGCTATTGACAGCTTCAACTCAACAGACTAATCAGCTGGGAAGGGTTAAGCACGAGGAAGTATTTCTGAGAAATTCTTAAGTATAATGCAGGTCATTGCAGAGCTCAAGATTTCAAAAAGTATTCTGCCTGGTCAGTTAAAGTCAAATACTGGCACCAAGCTAGCCCAAACAACAGTAAGAGGTTTATCTTCTGTTAATTTCATCAGGCACTGGGATATTGCCCAGGGAGGTGGTGAAGTCACCATCCCTGGAGGTGTTGAAGAGGTGTCTGGATCTGACACTGGAGGATCTGGTTTAGGTTTAGGGGTTGCAGCAGTGACAGGTTAATGGTTGGACTTCATGATCTTAAAGGTCTCCTCCAACCTTGATATTTCTATCATTCTAATTCCCAGCAACAGTTATGAAAGTTTTTCCTGTAATGGGGAAGTTTAAAGAAATATATATAACCTTCTGTAACAACCTTCTATGCCAATACCAAGTATAGCAAGACTAGTTAAAGCATTGAAACTTAGTATATTCTTTTCCATCCTGCCCTAATAAGCACCTAGGAAAGATCCCTAGTCAAAAGACTAAAACTCCATGTAACAAATTCTGATGTTTAAACCTTGTTACACTACTAACCACATGGAACAAAGTGACCTGCTCTTTACACATACAGATTTGCACTGGCAATTCAACAGCTTCACAGTAAGACTAGTTTTGTGTTATATTATATTCACATTTCATGGTTTGTTCCTATTAAGTCCAACTTGTCTTTTACAAACAAAATTCCCTGCTGTGGGAGTTTCTTCAGCAGATTATTTCTTGTGAGGCTGTAAAAGAACTTGAGTACCTAAAGTGACTGAACAGAACTTAGTACAGATATCTGTTAGTACAATCACAGAGCTTATAATTAATCACAGAATCAATCGAGTTGGAAAAGACCTCTGAGATCATCAAGTCCAACACCACCATGTCAACTACACCACAGCAGTAAGTGCCATGTTCAGTACCTCCTTAAATTTTGTATTCCTTTGCTCTTATCTCCAACACAAGACAGAACATGGGATATCACCCACTACAGGACATACATTGGTAAGCACTTTGCTGCTCCTGCTTGAACTCAGCTACAGTGAGTTCTCCATCTCAGCTCAGACCTTTGGAAAAGAGCAATTACTTCACACTGATACCAACCTCTCCCTGATTCCACAATTCTAAAAAGCATCATGGCTGGGAGAGACCTACTAGGCATTTTTAACTGCTTCCCACCTCAAAGTACAATCATAATGGCAGCAGAGTGACTTAAAATACACAGCTATCTCTATTTGAACATCATCAGAGGGTGATTACAGCACCAACCTCTTATGTAACAGGAAGCTCAACACATCTGATGCATGAAATCAATGCAGCTGCTTGCAGGGTGAGGGGGAAACAACACTGATCAGAGCAGGGAATGCAGACAGACACTTCTCCTCAGAATATATCCCTTAAGTAACACACAATTAATGACACTGATAAGCAGCAGCACAGCTGGAAAGAGAACAAGCACTTGTGAATCACAAGAAAAAAACCTTCATTAAAAAACCCTCTCCTTTGAGCAAAGCACCCCCTGAATCCTTCAAAGGTCTCTACTCCACACAGCCATTCAAACTTTCCTACACACAAGGCAGTATTTGAACTGAGCTCCTGCTAAAGGCATAGAGCAGCATTTTAAAGCTGCAGAAAACACAAGTGTAGCACATGAGAATAAAAACCAGAAGCAATGCACAGGAAGAATTTGGCTGGCAAAGAAGCAAGGAGAAACAGGACAGAAGATAAAGTTAAATGGCAAAATTCAAGAGACAAAGAGACAAATGGGCCAAGAGACTCCCAAGAATCCAGGATTTCAGAGCGAAGGCTGAAATTCAGCAAGTCTTTTGCTGTAAAGAAGCTTCTCACATTACCTATAATTTTAGGAAGTGAACTGAAAATCGCTTTACACTCTAGGACAACTGAAGTTTCCAGAATGCAAGTGGAGGGAGAAGTCCTAAAAAACCTAAGTAATAATGGAAACTGTTTTTCCCAACATAATGTATCGTGCTTGTGAGAAACCTTGTTTCCTGGTTAGGTGACACTGGTTTATTTTAATGTCTGTAAATATAATTTC